GTTAAACCTGTTCGGAGGGAACTGATCCGGTGACAGGGTTACGAGGCTGTTTTTCTCCATGTATCTACGCGATAAATGAAATACACGAGACGCACTGTATCACTATTTGACAGTAAAGATAATTTTAAATAATTGCTTGGGCTTAGAAACGTTTATCGTCGGGTCTGGCTAAGATCATTGGTATAAGTTTACTCACCTCATATAAACGTTCTTCTTGAAATTATTCGTGCCTTGTTCTTCAGCAAACTGTTTCACTGCTCATCAAAGTTGTCCAAAACTTCATTAAAAGCATCGCTAGCCTGCTTTCACCGGGACGAGAAACATTTTGATCACACCACACTTGCACTGATTGTTCTGACCGCCGGTTATAATGGTTTAACGACGGTATATACTCGGGGTGTACATCATTATAGTTATGATTAAAAAATATTTAAAGAGGGAGCCCAGTTCGCCATAGCGGTTTTCAGTGAGGCCCTCAAAATTAGCAATGTATGAAATACGTAATCACGTAATTGATAAGTAAAAGCTCACGGTGGAAATTATGAAATATCTAAAATATGACATGAACAGAAAATAATAAAATCGATGTGCAAGAGATGACACACTAAAGCCGAGGTAAACTAGCTGTGCCTAGTTAATTTTAGAACATAGCTAGCAGAACTGCGCAATCCAATTCATTATACTTAAGCGTGCTCAAAATCCCGATAGTGCACGCTGATAGCGTGAGCAAATCGCTTCGCCAGAAAAATTTTTTTTTGCGCGAGCGGCCATTGTTAGCGCGGGGAAAAATAATATATTTTGCGACAATAATGTATACAAACAGAGGCTCGGCCCACCAGTCCCAAAACGAAGACAACTTTCCGACTTTTTCCCTTGGGTTAGAGTTCTTAAATGTGGCAGAGAAAAAGAAAAAGAACGGAAAAGGAGACTCGGCATCAGCGCCGTCACGATTTGCTTCACTGTTCGAGAGTGAAATGCAACAAATTTTGACAGAAAGACACTCTGGTAAAACCAAACAAATGACAAACTGATCTGTTTCAACCTTCAAAGGTAAGCTTAAATTTTTCCGTTTTAAAATTGTTAAATATATACTTACAGTTGTTCTCGGGAATAGTACAACTCAGGGAAAAATTGTTTGCAAAAGGATTAACACATTTAATTACATCAAATTACAGATGTAGCAATAACAGTCTTTCTGTCTGGTTTTTCTTCATGAATATAACTTTCGAATGGTTTCTTTTTAAACTCAAAGAAAAATTTTTTTTTTATTTTAGCTTGGTGTAACGAGAAACAAATACAAACTTCAATGGAAAACATGACGGTAGGACAACTGGACACAAACCTGCGCAGGTTCTATGCCGAGGCGAGGAACAAGTCCGGGGAATCCTACAGCAAATCCTCTCTCTTTGGTTTCAGGCGCTCTATTGAGAGATACCTGACTGCACCACCCTAAGCAGAGGGCTCAAACTAAGTCCAGATCCTCGATTTAAACGATGAAATGACATGTTAAACGCTCAGATGTCCGTTTGAAGCGCCAGGGCAAGGAAAATGTCACCCACAAGCCAGCCATAGAGAGGGAAGACTTGATGAAGTTGAGAGCATCGCCAGCCATTGCACTGAGTAATCCACTCACCCTCCTCCACAATGTATTGTTTCACGTTATCTTATTCTTTTGTCGGAGAGGAAGAGAAGGTCAGAGGCAGCTGAAGAAAACGAGCTTCAAGTTTGAAGTTGATGCGTCGGGAGGAAGATTTGTCACAATGGCGCTGATGAAGCGACAAAAAACCATTCCGGAGGAGTGACTGATGTATCCAGCAACGAGAAAGTGGCAAGAATGTATGAAACACCTGAAGAGAACGACGGATACAAAGCTTTGAAGTTTTACATGGCCAAACTCAATCCTCGGTGCGATGCTTTCTTTCAGTATCCGAGAAAGGATTCTAAGTGGAACTATGACGATAAAGTTTGGTTGGACGCCCGACCAATTGGTGGCAACAAACTCGACGGGATGATGAAAAGCATCAGTGAGGAAGCAAAACTCTCCAAAATGTACACCAACCACAGCGTCAGAGCCACCGCAATCACCTTACGGTCGAATGTTCTGATATTGTTGTCCGTTTTTCGCGTCGGATTTGATGCACAATTCCACCGGCTATGTGGCAGAAAAAAAGAAAAACAACGGAAAAGGAGACTCGGCATCAGCGCCGTCACGATTCGCTTCACTGTTCGAGGGTGAAATTCAACAAAAATTGACAGAAAGACACTCTGGTGAAACCAAACAAATGACAAACTGATCTGTTTCGACCTTCAAAGGAAAGCTTAAATTTTCCGTTTTAAAACTGTTAAATATATATTTACAGTTGTTCTCGGGAATAGTAAAACTCACGAAAAAATTGTTTGCAAAAGAATGAACACATTTAATTACATCAAATTACAGATGTAGCAATAACAGTCTTTCTGTCTAGTTTTCCTTCATGAAAATAACTTTCAAATGGTTTCTTTTTAAACTCAAAGAAAATTTTTTTCCTTATTTTAGCTTGGTGTAACGAGAAACAAATACAAACTTCAATGGAAAACATGACGGTAGGACAACTGGACACAAACCTGCGCAGGTTCTCTGCCGAAGCGAGGAACAAGTCCGGGGAATCCTACAGCAAATCCTCTTTCTTTGGTTTCAGGCACTCTATTGAGAGATACCTGAATGCACCACCCCTAAGCAGAGGGCTCAAACTGAGTTCAGATCCTCGATTTAAACGATTAAGTGAAATGATAAACGCTCAGATAGTCCGTTTGAAGCGCCAGGGCAAGGAAAATGTCACCCACAAGCCAGCCATAGAGAGCGAAGACTTGATGAAGTTGAGAGCATCGCCAGCCATCGCACTGAGTAATCCCCTCACTCTCCTCCGCAGTGTATTGTTTCAAGTTATTTTATTCTTTTGTTGGAGAGGAAGAGAAGGTCAGAGGCAGCTGAAGAAAACGAGCTTCAAGTTTGAAGTTGATGCGTCGGGAAGAAGATTTGTCACAATGGCGCTTATGAAGCGACAGAAAACCATCCCGGAGGAGTGACTGATGTATCCAGCAACGAGAAATTGTCAAGAATGTATGAAACACCTGAAGAGAACAACGGATACAAAGCTTTGAAGTTTTACATGGCCAAACTCAATCCTCGGTGCGATGCTTTCTTTCAGTATCCGAGAAAGAATTCTAAGTGGAACTATGACGATAAAGTCTGGTTCGACGCCCGACCAATTGGTGGCAACAAACTCGACGAGATGATGAAAAGCATCAGTGACGAAGCAAAACTCTCCAAAATGTACACCAACCACAGCGTCAGAGCCACCGCAATCACCTTACGGTCGAATGCTGGTGTAGAGAACCGCCACATAATGGCAATCTCTGGTCACCGTAGCGAACAGAGTGTTTTACATTGCAACACGCAGCCCTCGACATCACAGCTCTGTACCTGCAGCGAA